CAGTAAACCAACTTTTTATCAGCTGCCTAAAACACACAATGATCACCGAGATGATGAATAAGAAGACACGCAGCAGCATGACATACACAACTTGAAATGACGGAGGCACTTCCTCTGAGATCTTTGGTCCAGGAGGCCCGCTGTGTATGCTCCCACCGAATCCCACCTCTTCGCAGAACGGGGGAGTCCAGCCATACATGCAATGGCAGGCCTTTAGATTGTTGCAGACACCTCGGTTATTGCACTTCCCAAGCAAACAGTCGTACTTCAGGATGGAAGAACTGTCAGTGCAAGTACCGTTAAAACACACCTGTTTAAGGCCACAGGAAGTTCCATCAGCGACCATCCCTATGTCAGGTATCGCATGACCTACCATGCTTCCATGGTAGCCTGTGCCCCAGCACATGAGATTGTCTCTCTTCAGGTAGGTGGCTACGATGAGAGTGTGATCTGGAAGTTCAGGGAGGACCTTCACATTTATGCACTGGAGCCTGCCACATATTGTGGTGCCCCTGGTACACATCATAAATTTAGAAGCATTTATAAGCCCACAGTTACCATACTGATCGCCTATCATGTTAACTGCGTCGTAACACTGCTGAGGAGCCTCCCTGGAGGTGGGTCCGAAGATGTTCTGGCACTGCATGTACCTGGACCGGCAGCCCTTTTTGAAACACACACCTTCGTATTTGCAGGGAGTTCCATCCTGCTTGTAATAGTCATCCGGACAAAGCGCTGACATCCCATCGCAGTACTCTGCGAGGTCACATTCATTTTCTTCCTGCCTACATACATATCCTGATGGACGAAAGTCACATTTATGACAGCAAAGCCCAGTGGAACAGTTGACACCTTCTACCAGTGTGCAGTCTGGCCGACAGCACAGGTCTTTTTCACATTCTTTCTCGGAGCCACAGTCACACTCCTCACCGTCTTCCACAATTTGGTTTCCACACCTTTCTAGCTTAAAAAGTACGTCTGGCATGTAAGATAGACAGTAGGCTATTTTATAAGCTGCGTGTAAAAAGAAGTGTACGTAACTACAGTTACTAAACCCTGACCGTCCTGTGCCCATGATGCAGTCCGTCCTGCCTCTGCATTGACAGTACTCCTCGTCATGTCGCATTCCCACGCCATGCCCCAGTTCATGAGCAGTCCAGGTAGCAGGCTGGATGACGTTTATACCGAATAAGGTGCTTATTGATCCAGCATGGTATTCTTCACATACTCTTCCCCAGGACCAGGCCTTAGCATCTACATACCCTCTTGCAACATATAAATGTGCCCAGTCTGATAGATATCGGAAATGCAAGAAATCTCTTTTGTATATTAAAAAAAAGGTTAAAGCCTCAGCTAACCACTTGACGGCAGTTTTTATCATGTTATTGTGTGTCCAGATTTCAACTGCCTTTAGATGAACCTTCAACCTGACATCCTGATAGTAGGTGTCCATAATTGAAGCTATAAAAATGGCGTCATCGTATACCCTACTCTCGTTGTCGCCTACCTCGAAAAATCTCATCCTATCAAAGACCAAGAGCAGTTTCACGTACTTTTGGTGTCTGGGTTCATAATAGTTACTTGCCCTAGGCATCTCCTCTTGCTGGGCTGTTTCCTCGTCTGTTCCTTCATCAACCCAACCACAACTCTGATTGCTAAAGGCATCTTCTCTTAGGAGATACACGATGTGTTCAAAACTCTTAGAGGTCCGGAGTGGCTCCATTTGGTAGGATCTGGAATCTATGTTCAGGAAGGCTCGCACACCCCCCATGCATGTACTCAGAGTAGATTCGACATCCTGAGAACCTTCCACAGAGCCCACATAATTGCACTCATCTGGTATGTATGGGTAATCCTCTATCAGACTGCCCTCCTTAGTGAAGGAGACAAGTGGGAGATGTTTTGGCAACAGTAACTTCTTGGGCCGCAGGTGAAGCACATGCTGCCTGCCTCCTATCCGTAAGAGGTATGACAAAGAACTGTCCACACCCTGGTCCTCTTTCCTAAAGTTCAGTTGTTTGGGAATGGTGATTTCATATGATTCAAACCCCCAGTCGGGGTCAAATAGTTTCTCGTCACCCGCAGCCTCGAAAAAGAGCGTCACCAGAAGCAGCCAGCAGTGTCGAGGGAGGAAGGCCGACACTGACCTCATGATCAGTTCTGTGTCGCTGCTTGGTTTTTCCCGGACTCAGGGAGTTGTTGGGGTAACTCCAGTCTCTGGTTTGTGCATTAGATTTCAATGGTACTCCGCTACAAGCGCAGGAGCCCCAAGCGCGAAGTTCCCTCGGCAGGCTTTCCTGGGAGGCTGGGCCTCTCAGCACCGACCGCTGCCCAACGCATCCAGTTCGATATCCCTGGGCAGTGACTTACGCTCGCGCTGAAGAACTGAGGCAAAGGTGCACCGGAAAAATAGAGAAGAGATCGCGTCCAGAGCACATGTTTTGTCCGGCTGTTGTGGCGCACGCCTTTAATTCCAGCGCTCAGAAGACAGAGGCCAGCGGATTTCTCTGTGACGTCATCCAGGCCAGGCTGTTCCACGGACTGAGTTCCAGGACAGCCAGGGCTCCACAAAGAAACTCTGTCCCGGAAAATAAATAAGAAAAGAAAGAAAAAGAAAGAGAGAAAGAAAGAAAGAGAAAAAAGGGGAAAGAGAGAGAGAGAGAGAAAAGAAAAGGAAAGAAAGAAGAAAAATCAGATAATTTATAGTCCTCTCCTCACCTCACTGGCAAGTGTGCCCCATTTTCTGCTGAGTCTCTTCAAGAAATGGAAGTGACACCAGACAGTCCCAGAAAAGCAGCTAAGATTCTCCACCCTCCACACCAGCCTTCTGCCCCAGGGTCTTCCAGCTGCTGGCTTTTCAGGGCTGTGTGTCCAAGCCAGGAAAAGTTACTGAGGTCATTTTGCCTCCTTTGCTGCATGTCAAGAGTTCACCTGATGGTCACACCGTGCCAAAAAAGCACCTGTTTGGGTGGGAGTGGGGAGGTCCAGGAATATTCTGGAAGAGGTAAACGGTGGGTTATGACTGTAGCATGAATTCCAGGTGAGAGATGATGCAACAGTGGTGAAGAAAACATGCCCTTTGCTCCGAGTACAGAACACCTTAACACCTACACAGACAAACCCAGAGTCATGAAGTGAGGACTTGAAGACAAGCATTTTCAGTTTTGGTCTTAGGAAATCCAGTCAGGCTGCTTCCCATGGAAAAGTTATGAAGACCTGGTGTTCAGTGTGGGGCTGTAGTTAGGGGGCTCTTGTTGGGTCTAGACATGTTGTCTGTGGGCAGAAGTCATGGCCCTGGGCTGAGGGAGGGAGGGAGAGATGAAGGAAGGAAGGCAGGAGAAAGAGCACAGCACTTATGGAGGGGGTGAAGGCATCAGGAACACGTTCCCTGAATTACAGAGGTGGGAGATAAAAAGGATGTTATGGTACCTAGGTGTGATGGCTTGCCAGTCCCTCTTCCCTAGGGCTGGAATATTAACTGGCTTGATCTTACACAGGCAAGCACAGCTGTTCCGAGCTCACAACTACAGTGTGCCCATCTTGCCTAGAAGATGCTGTTTCACTTTGGCCCTCCTCTGCAATTCTGGCTCTTACAGACTTTTCACCCTTTCTTCCCAGATGGCCCCTGAGACTTGTAGGGTGGAAGTGAGGGGTATGACAGATGCTTCTTTGTGGCTGAGCAGTCCACATACTCTTAGTCTCTGCATTTTGACCAGTTCTGAGGGGTGTGTGTGTGTGTGTGTGTGTGTGTGTGTGTGTGTGTGTGTGTTAGTCACCTGAAGATGAGACAGATTTCTAAATGTGGTCAGGTACATGGAAATCCTTGGGTAACATAACCTGGGCTAGGCCTTTCTCTGAGCCATCACCATAGTGTTCCATGGAGCTGTGTGGGGAAAGCAGACAGGGAAACCAAATCAGAGACCTTAGGAAAGCTATGATGTGTACTCAGGCCAAAAGAAGGGACTTGTGGTTGTTTGAGGAGTGGGTTTTGATATGAGGAAGGGTAGGCTGAAGTGGAGCTGAGTGGCATTGAGGAACAGTGAACTTAGCCAAAGGAAAGTTGTGGTAACGGTGCAGACTTGTTCAGGAAACAGCTCATGAGTTAAGTCAGATACCAGGATGTAGGTATACAAACTGCAGATAAGATAGGTGAGCTAGCCAAACTAGCCCACATCTTCAATAAGTTAGGCAAGGCAGAGAGAAGAGATGAGAAGGAAGCTGGTGGGGGCTCCATGACAGAAAGGGGAGTTGATAGAGGAGAGGTTCCTGACCATTTTCATCTGCTGGTAGGAAGCCAAACAGAGGGCCCAGCCTTCAAGAGTGGAGTGTCCCAGTGGCTCCCACTCAGGACCACACAGGAGGAGTGCAGAGGGAGGGAAGGGCTGGCTGGCACACAGCACTGAGGTAAGAAGGTGAGAGAGGGCCAGACAAGAGCTCCAGCATGCTCTGTGAGTTCAGCCAGTGAGAGTCAGGAGGTGGTGAAGGGAACCCAGGAGATAGGAAGGAACCTGTTTTCTCTACTGCAGAAGTTCAGTTGAGCATTGTAAGGAATGCCAATAACACCAACAGACACAGAGCAGCTGAGGAGGGCCTGAGTTATCCCCATGACCCTGCCCTTGGGGCACTGTTAGGTGTTCACGGTGAGACATATAGAAATTGTGCATTTAAGGATACCAGGTCTGTCTTTCTCTTTCAGAGACAGAGTCTTGCTATGCTCAAACTGTAGTGAGGCCTCAAGCCTGTGGGTCCCCTGGGAAGTACAGACAGATGTCATCACATCTGGCAAGATATAGGAACTCTTGAGAAGTGTGGTCTAATTGGAGGAAGTTGCATCACACACAGTGTGTCCCCTTCAAGGGGATATTGGGACCCTGGCATTTTACTTACTGGCCACGAGGTGACAGCTTCCCTTGACTCACACTCTTTTCTGTGATGCTGTCTTAGCACTGGCCTAAAAGATACAGGCCAAGTGACCAGTGCCCCAAACTGCCATTAGTCAAAATAAACCCTTTTCTGTATGAGTTGATTATCTTAGACATTTCCTCACAAAGAATGACAAAGTGGCTATGCTCATGATCTCAGTGGCGTGACAGCTCTACAGACACACATCTCAAACTGAGGGATGAACATATATTAAACACGGGTCTATATGAAGACATATTAAATATGTGCAATAGTTTATATGTGGATCATATCTCAATAGTGACTATCATTTATTTTTAAGTTTGTAATATTCAGTACAAATATAAATGCTATATACATACTGTATCGAGGAAATAAAGACAAAAACATACCAGTTCAGTTCAGTGCCATCCCCAGCCCCAGCTCCCGGCACTGTTTCTCCACTGAATGTTCCTGCCGCTAGTAACTCTCCCTTCCCTTTTCACATTTCATATGATCTCTCGCCTCTGAAGCCCCTTTTAGAAAGTGACGTGAATCTAGAAAATAGCACCTGGCATTTGTTTTATTGCAAGACTTGCTCTTCCTAGTGGACAACACATATTGCAAATAACTTTCTAGATTTACTTTGACACCCTCAGCAGGTGCACAGTGTTCTGAAGCATGCGCTAGTCACTGAATTGACTATTTTCCCCCCACTAGCCACAGCTGTGCCAGTCAAAAGCCTTGAAATTATCTTGTTTTAAGGTTTTTCCATATTATGATAGTAAATACAAACAAGTACGTATGTCTTTACAATACTTTATATGTTTATATATGAATACATACACATTTTTTTTGCCCCTTGAACTATTTCCATTATTAGACTGCCAGAATAGATCAAAGAAAGTAAAAAGTGTTCTTAGTGGTTAATGTTATCGACTCACCCTTAAAAATTGTGTTCCTTATAAACTAAGAGCCAAGTTGTGCACTTGGATTTTACATACCAGAATCAAGAACATCTAACTAGCAGAATGTGCCAGTAGCTGTCATGACAGCAACAGTTCCTGAGACACACCTTCCACATTGTATACTGTCTAAGATTTTTCACTAGAAAAAAAAATGTAGCTCAAAATTTACCTTGCATTTTTGATTGTTGTTGCAGTTGAGTATATTTAGTAATTAAAAGTGAATCTGCTCTTAACTGTAAAAAAAAAAAAATATATATATATATATATCAACATTTCAAGGGGTCAGAGATGGCTCAGTATGTGAGCCTGCAAGCACAAGGACCTGAGTTTGAATCCCCAGCAGCCATGTAGAAAGCAGGGCATAGCTATGCATGCCTATAACTCCAGCACTGAGGAGTGGGGACAGGCAGGTTCCAAGAGCTTACAGGGCAGCCATCCTAGTGGAAATGGTTTGGTAGAGACTGTGCCTCAAAGCAGTAAGGTGGCAGGGAAAGAAAGGAAGACACATGCTATCCTGCTTTGACCTCTGCATGAACTTACACACACACACACACACACACACACACGGAGCTTAGAACTTGGGAATCCACTTGAGGTACTGCAGGAGGATTCAGTTTATGGAGCTACTAGAACCAACAATGGAAATGCCTTACTCCCCAAATTCTCTCCAGCACAGTCTACTGATAAAGCTTAGCAGAATGTCAGCAAAACGTTTACTGAGTCTTTTAAAAAATATATTTGTGTTGTGTATATCTAAGAGTGTGTGCATGTGGGCCTTTGTGTGCAAAGGCCAGAAGTTGGCATTGAGTGTCCTCTATCACTTATTTCTTTGAAGTAAGGTCTCTCTCTAACCCCCAGGCTGGTGTGTTTTCAGGTAGGTCCAGAAGGCTAGCAAGCCCTGAGCTCACCCTGTCAGAGCTGAACTTACAGGCATGTGTCCACATGTGAGTGCTGGGATCCAGGTCCAGGCTCATGTGTGAAGCAGATGCTCTCAACCACTGAGCCATCTCTCCAGCCACCCCTTCCTGCTTTTGAAATGGGGTCTTGCTGTATAACCCAGAGTAGTCTTAAGCTCACACATAATTCCTGGTCCTCAACATTCTCTTATCAGGTTAACAGACAGCTCCAAATGTTTGCTCCTCCACAGGCCAGCCTTCCTACCCAACACAGAGTCCTGCACCTCACAGCTATAACACCTGTTCACATTTGCTTGTATTCCCTCTCTGCAGTGGAGACAAATTTCAATAGTTGGAATAAGGTTTGATGATTATCTCTATGTAAATGTATGTAAGTCTATACGACC